TTCCCTCGGGCTCCGGGAAGAGCGACCCCCGCTCCTTGCTCGGGCTGGTCCGGGATGGCCGGGCCGGGGGCCTCGCCTCACCTCTGGGGGTGGCTGCTGCTGGGCGGCTGTCTCCTCGCCAGAGCCCAGGTAAGACCCCGTGTCCCGCGGCACCTGCTTTCCAGAACCTGCGGCCGGGACTCGGCGTTAGGGCGGCAGAGACCAAGGCGCGCGCGGGCGCAGACGCTGGCACATCAACGCGCTAACACACACACAGCCGCACCGACAGACAGACACACATACAGAAGTGCAGCCGGCAAGGTTTGACAAGCATTTGGTGGAGCTGCAAAGATATGCTTTAGATAAATGATGTCTTAGGCTGGGCACTATTCCGACCAGCATCTTGGCATCTGCAAAGTAAGAGTGTATTTACGAATCACAGGGTTCTGGATCAGGAGGGTGAGGCTGGAAGGTGAAGAGAACTTTTCTTACTCTTAAGACTCCTTGATCCTTGGTTTAATTAATCCAAATTATTTTTGTCTACTGGCAATTTACCGTCAGTTTTGAGAACTTAAATTTCTGGGATTGTTTGTGACCACTGTCTGAAAGGAAAACTGGCTCTCCCTGATACGGGATAACGTATCATTAAAGCGAGGAGACTAGATAGAAAAAAATACGTGTATAACTTGTTAAAGCTCAGTTGTTAATGTTTAGAATAGTGGTAGTTGTCATTTTCTTACTGCCAATGAGATTTTCTGGGTGATCTTTCACAAAGGAGCCTCTCTAATGTGCAAGTTACAATTCATCCTCACTGTTTTTTTGAGTCAAATAAAATGTAGGATTTACCCTCAGCTTTTCAGATGAGTTAGAAAGAAATGCGTGTAGTGTTGGGTGTAATGCGGTTTAAGAACCCTGACTTTAAACTGAACCAATGTTATTTCTCTCTTCTGTTCGAAAGGGGGCGCACTTTGACCGTCAAATAAAGCCCCAAGTTAGGGTTTTTTTCTTTTTCTTTTAATTCTTTACTCCTAAGAAAATTAAGGTATTCATCTATATACTATTATATCTAAACTTAATACTATGTTCTTGACTTTCAGATGGCCAGTTTAAATTTCAGTTATTCAGTGCGGTTGCTTTTGTTTAAATCACATAGCCACATACATTAAAGAAAATAAGTGCCTTGCTAAATACTGGGCTTTGCCTAACATGACCAGGATATTTCATGTAAACTTAATCTGTTTAAAAAAAAAGACGATATGTTATACATTGACTAATAAGAGTATCAGTGAATGCTCAAAAGTAGAGTATGCTCAAACCTGAAAAATTTCACCAAGGTAACAGTAGGAATATGAATGAATGGAAAAGCTCTAAGAGTTTGGTGACAGTTATAGAACTCTGGTGATCTCTAATGTGCTTCCTGCATTTTTGTCTTACAAGATATTTGGATAATATGCTTGAAAACCCTGCTTCCTTGTATAAGGGGCAAATGAACCTAAGCATTTATTTCATTCAGTGTTCTAGATTACTTTTTTCTAAGGAAATAGGGAGGTATTGCTTAGTACAAGAAAGAAAAAAAATCACTATGGGATTATGGGCAGAATATTTCCTTTTAATTTTCAATAAAACAATCATAGCATTGAACTCTTGTTTCTGTAAGGTTTCTCAACGTTTTGGGCCATATAGTTCTTTGTTGTGGGGGCTATCTTGTACATTGTGGGCTATTTAGCAGCATCTCTGTCCTCTTTCCACTAGATGCCAGTAGCAACTCCCTGCCTCTGCCTGGTTGTGACAACCAAAAATACCTCCACGTATTGCCAGAAGTCCTTTGGGAGGCAGAATCGCCCCTGGTTGAGACCCATTGCTTTGAACTAATTTTCATTTATGTCTATAGATTA